TTCTTAGAGGAATGAAGTACACTAAAACTGAAATGTGTGTTTAGAAACACACATACACACATGCAGACATGATAGAGGAGGTAGATTTCCTCTGTTTAAGGTTCAAAAGTTTAACAGCAAGAAACACGCTGACTGTTAGACTTTAATCTTGACCAAGGAGAAGACAATAAGGCTTTGTCTAAAGATCTAAAGCGGTTTCTGTCAAACAACAGAGGATAAAAGCTCCATGATGTCAGTGGGAATCAAGCTTTTAGGGCTTTAAATGTTTTTAGTCAGATCTCAACTTTAACTCTAAAAGCAACTCTAAAAGTAGTCAAATAAAATGCAAGTCATGCAATATCTTGTTTTAGATGTGCATCTGTTTTTTTTTTTTTAAATAAGTGTTTTTCCGAAAGAGACTGCTCTAAATTAAAGTCAGATTTTCAAATTTTTAGACAGAAGAATGAAATGGCTATAATCACAGCACTGATAATGTAAGTTTTTAGCATTACAACGGGCAGAGATGCTAAAAATGTCGTTTGTTACACATTTTAAGTGCAGGATGGAAATATAAAAAGGTAGCCAAAAATCTAATCTCCATTTTGTCCGCTTTTTATGTTAAAGCTAGCGTTAGCATTAGCACAATATATTTTGTGAGATGAAGCACAAAATAATAAAAATTATCAGTTTAGGATTTGTACTATTTGGTTACAGTTTTATGTAAAAATACAACTGAACCTAAATCTCAAGTTTATTGTTTCTGTTTAAGCTAATGTTTACAGCTCACTGTACACGATAGCATTAGCAACAGATCCACTCTTGATAGGACGGAAGTAGCAAAACAATAAAAGTCTTAAGGAAAAAGAAAATTAGAGCCAAAAAACTGACCTTAATTTCAGAATTCTTACTTTTTCTCATTACTTTAATCTCAAAATGTTGATATTTTTATGTCATTAGTAATCTCAGAATTCTGACTTTAATCTTAAAATTGTCAAAATTGATAACATTATGGCTTTTTTTGGAGGCCCTAATCTTCTTCCGTACATTGATTGCTAAATAAAATTACCTCTAGCACTTAAAATACTTATAAAACACAAACTAAACTCAATAAATTGACCTGATGTAATCCTGAAGTATTGTTAGGTGAAAATACTTCAACTGGTGGATTCAACCACTGCGTGTCATTTTTATTTTAGCTTACTTAAAACACTAAAACTCTGTTTAAACCAAACCAGCTAGCTTTTAGCTTAGCAAGCTACCAGGACAAATTTATGATTTAACATTCTGTAAACTTCTTCAAATTTGAGGGTTTGGAAGTGTCCAAGTTACAAACAAACGTCTTACCTTTATCTTTGGCTTTCTTTCGTCTTCTTCCGTTTCTCTGCCCCACTAAAATAACTTAATTTAATGCCATAATCACCGTTCGCCATACCTGTCAGCGGAAGTCAGCCTGCGTCACAGTAAAGTGCAAGGATTTTAATTTAAATATCCCATAAAAACATCAGCTACATCTTAACATTATGGCTTATTTTATTATTTCATCCTAAATGTATTTCATAAAGATGGAATTTTTTTTTTTATCTTCAGATGAGGCTAAGCATTTAACTGTATCGCCCTCTAGTGGCTGAAGGAGTACCATGCATTTGCAGAAGTTGAAAATATTTATTTGCACTCAAATACATTCTAAATTAAGCACATAGTATTTTCAATATAACACGAACAAGTACTCCCTGATTTTATATATAATATATATATATTATATATAAAATTAAGGTTAATAGCGCATAACTGACCGCTAGATGGAGGCAAAGTGCTGCAATGCATCTACTGGAATCGTACATGTGCTAAAAAGGATTACGGTTAAATTAACATTTTGTAGACTCCCTCCTTTTGAATTATGTGTTTTTAACAAATTTCACTTGTAATATGAGGAGAAAATATAACTTTGGAGGTTTGGTTTCGTGTTTTCACTAATTTTTGATGAAGTAGTTAGGAAATTGAGTGATAAATGGTAACAGCTTGAAAAATATTATTTTTTTAAACAATAATCAGGAAATGAGGCGCAAAAAGTGAAGAGAAACAAATTCAATTAAAAAGGAAATAAAATAAATTTAACACTTAACATAAAACATGTAATTAATATCAGAACATCGCACAAAAAATATCCCAATAAACGTTAAGATTCAGCAGAGTGTGACAGCGGTTCGGATTAAACAGCAAGAATATTTAAAGATTGAAAAATTTCTCCTGAATTTAAAGCAACAACCAGCCTGGTTTGATGTCATAAAACTGATTATAAGAAACACAAAAAACCCAATAAATTTAAATTTTTTTATTCCATGCAGACTTTCACATCATTTTCAATTGAAGAATATGGAGGCAAAAAAGGGGCAAAAATACCACTTTGTCTTGACAAGAAATAGTATTTTAGAACCTATTTATCTTTCAAAACTGCTAATTAGAAAAACTTAGAAAGTAATGACCGATTTATGCATTTATTTTCCCTCTAGATCAGGGGTGTCCAAAGTCGGTCCTCGAGGGCCGGCATCCTGCACGTTTTAGTTCTCTGCCCTGGTGAAGTAACAACCTTTTCGTCTTGTCAATGTTCCTTCTAGGCCTTCTAACGAGCCATCATTTAATCCAGGTGTGTTAAACTAGGGAGAGAACTAAAACATGCAGGATGCCGGCCCTCGAGGACCGACTTTGGGCACCCCTGCTCTAGATGATGTTTTAACTGGTAAAAACAACTATTTCTCTGATTCACTTTCACAATTATTCAGTTACAGAAAAGATTCAAATTCCTAAAGCCCCTTTCTCCTTCCATAAACTAAACCCAGTGTTTGATATAAGAATAAATCAGGGTTAATTTACCCTTTAAATAAAACTCTAAATGTTATAAATCGTTCCCTGAATTGGGAAGAGGCCTCTGGTATCATTTTGCTCCTGGCAACAACACAAAAATATCTTTGGTTATAACAAAAAAGACAAAAAACAGCAGAAAGAATAAATCTATCAGATGAGCAATGCATGTTTGACACAGATTTAAGAAAATAGTTGCGGTAAATGGCCGCCAGAGGGCGTCATTGTACAGCAATCCCTGCAGCACCATCAGCGTGACGTCATTCAGCGTCAGCAGAGAAAAAACATCAGCTATCATAAATCCTTATGATTGTCTTCATACTCCTTTAAAGACTGATTGTGTGTGTGTGTGTTTTTTTTTAATAAATTCAAACAAAAAGCTCCCAAAAGTGGATAATTCTTACAATAAAACATCTCGGTAAAACTTTTCGCACCTTCTTTTTCTTAGGATTGTTTTTCCCATCCTCACTTCCTGTTTCTCTCTGGAGTATCTCAGCTTGATAAAAGGAGGTCAAAGCTGGACATTTCAACTTGACATTTACCACAACCTTATGTTTTCTTCCTTGTAAACATTTCATATTTCGTTCCTACTTCCTCAAACTCACTCAGTCGACTTCCAGAAACTATTTGCATCTTTTTCCTGCACAAACTAGATTTTCCTAATATCACTGAAAAATATTTCTACTAAATCTAACTTGATAAGAATATAACATTTTCTGCTAAAATATCTTTACATTCAGTACCCCGTGCTTAGATTTAGCTGTACCAGTTTGGAGGCCCATTCCTGTCAGTGCAAAGAAATAAAATGGCATATTTACTGTAAATAAAGTTTACGACTTTAAATGTTAAAATAATAAAAATGAACCTCAATTATGTCATAATTATGAGTTTCCAGCTGTAAAACTCAATATTATAACTAAAGCTCGCAATTTTAACTTTATATCCTATAATTATGTTAAAAGTGAAGATTATAATCAACACTTAACCATATTTGATGTCATAATTTTGTGACAAAACATCAAAAGTAGGAATCTGAAAGTTAAAATTAAGACTTAACCACTCACAATTTGCACAAAGCACACAATATTTTGCTTTGCAAAGGCAGCAATGTGCTTCCATATGTTTGAAGCGTCTGGTTATGGAGACCAAAATGTGCCAAAATCAATGTTATAAAAACTGACTCAATTACATTTCATAAGGTTTCAAATATGAACCCGTAATGTATCACTAATATTTCAAAATCTAAAACTATAAGCGGTAAGTATAACAAGTCAAAGAAGTGATAAGGTTCTGAGCAAAATATACTTATATTCCATAACTTTTCAGTTTGTTTTCTAAAAAAAATATGCTAAAAATAAATAGAAAAACAATGATTTCTCACACAAAATATTCAATAATCATTGATAGTGATGACTTATCTTAATATTACAGCTAACTAAATTATATACGAAAATTAATGTTTTTAAGAAGTGGTCAGACTCTACCGTCATGCCGAAATTCAAAGAAAAAGACAAAAATGACAAACATAATATTATACTAAAAAAAAACAAATGTAACAAAAAAAATTCAAATATTTTATATTAACATGTGGATCTTGTATTTTTTTATTTCTTTAAAAATAATAAAACATAAAAGCAATTTAAGATATTTAATATAAACCACTTCTTTAGGTAAAATAAATATATAAGTTTTTTGAGTTTGGCACATCTGGGACTCCATACTTTTTTGTAAAAAGCTACTTTTTTTGTAGAAATACTTCTCCATTTCCAACTACATCCCTACATCCAGTTTACCCTTCTCATTTCTCAGTTTTTGTTTAATTACACGCATCTGAGTCACTCATCAGCTAGTAAAAGCCCTGATAAACTATTCTCTGTCTGTGTCAAAAACACGTCTGTCTCCTCCTCGAAACGAAACAAAATAAGACTCGCTTTTTTAAAAAAAGAGAAAAAAAAATAAAGCTTTGCCCATATAAATTAAGAAAAAAAATATTTACAAACCTTTAAGACAAAGGCATTAAATTAAAAAAAAATACAGCCTCTAGTCTTTCACTAGTTAAAATAAAGTGAAAGAAACAAAAAGGAATCAAGATAAATTATGACAGCAGAAGAAAAAAGAACGAGGGATGGTTGAGAGGAAATAATGTGGCACGTGAATGGATCTTTGGCGAGTGAAGGAAGTCTAAAAGTTCATTTATTTTCTTATTTGTTCTTCATGTCTTTTATCCAAACCATCCCTCCGTCCAGGTGCTGCTTCCTTCCGTGTTCACAGCCGTCCCTCCACCAACACGTTCACCTCCGAGGAGATTAACGACAGAAGAACAACGTCCGTTTGGTTTGTAGGAGGGCGAATCCTCTACGAAGGCGATCCGACCGCCATCATGGCCTCCTGCAGTCTCTGGCGGCAGACCTCATAGCGGCGAATTATCGCCTCCTTCTGCTCCTGCTCTTCTTTGTCAAGTATCCGGAGAAAGTTTCGCAGCTCTGGGATGGAGAAGGCGTCCCACTAGAGAGGAAAATACAGACGTTTATGTTTCTAACGCTGCAAAGACTCAAAGTGTTTCAAAGTGATTTTATGTGATGGACAACAACAAAGACGTGGAGAACTAAGAAAAAGGAAGGTTATGAAAATCTGAAAAGTGTAGCGTACACGTTTTTTAAAGGTGACCTATTGTTCTTACTTGAACAGGTCAGGATAGGTCTATGGGCGACACAAACATTTTTTTGTACATTATTCTTAGATGATGAGATTTTACTCTGCCGTTTTAGGGCGTCTTGTCACTTTAAATCATAATAAGCTATTTCTGGCCACGCCCCCCCAAACGCAACGTTTATACCCGCACGTAAAACTGGCTGCAGAAAACCGTACATCTTTGAAAAGCAGAAGTAGAGCCTCCTGCACAACCAGCAATAATACAGAAAGTGGTTTCTGATAACTCTTCCAGCAGCCATTGTACAGCGCACACCAGGAGAAAACCAGCTGACCAAACATGCTGGAGCTCAGCTTGGCTTGCTAGGTAACAGGCTGAGCTTGCCTGGGGTTGCTACGTAACAATGAAGTGCCCATGGAATGCGACTTAACAAATGTGAGGTTTTTGAAATGGCTTATTTTCCAGACACCAAAGAACATCAACTTTTTGCCCTCTACAAAAGCTAGAATATATATTTTTTAAGCGCTGGGGTTGTTTTTAGAAGCAGTTGAGACCCAAATAGAAATATAAAAAACCCTAACAGGTCCCTTTTAAGGTTGAAATGAAAGAAAAACAGGAAAGAACACAGAAGACGACTGGGAAGAACAGGAAAACAAAGTGGGAACAGATTTGGGAAGAGTCCAGCTGGTCGCACCATAACTTCTCCGGTCTGTTGTTCTCTCAGAACGAAGCTGAGCGTGTCGAGGTCGGGTCCGGCCACCAGGCGAAGGAACAGCGGCTTCTCAACATCCGCCAGCTTGCACACATACACTGCAACACACAACGGAGGGGGAGGGGGGGGTAAACATCAACACACATCCATACAGGTGCTGCGGTATAAACACACCTGGATGGGTGTGGCACTTTAACAACCACCAACTCTATGAGAAAACGGGGACAAAGTTCAACATCCAGCTGAAATGTTGAAACCCTGAATCATTCCTGTTTGCTAATTTCTAAAACAATTGGTTAATTTCTTGGAATTCAGAAGCTTAAATACAGCAAAATGACATTTAAAGGTTGTTTTTAAAAAACGTGATGATGTAATTTCTTTTAAAGCTTCTGATTCACAACATCAGGGTTAATTGGAGCCACGCCTCCGGATTTATTTAATGGCAGAACTTCAAACATAATGCCTCATTGTGTGACATCTTGGGAAAACAAACAGAAATAAACCAAGATATTAGACATCAGTTCTGGCTCAAGTAAAATTTACATCTTACAGATGCCTAAAGGTGCCACACTGCAAAAACAAAAAAATCTTAAAATTATGTTTCCCTAGTTTCTACTGCAAATATCTTAGATTAGTTGAAATAAGACAAAACAAGCTTACAAGTAACATTTAAGCAAGATATATGACCTTAATTTAAGTAAATAATTCCTTAATTTTGATGAAAAAGTTCTAGTTTCATCTGCAGATTATTTGAGTTAGAACAACACTTTTCCCCATGTTGAAAGTAAAATAATCCTCCAAAGGAACTAGTACTTTTTATATCAATATTAAGGTACTCTTTCCGTAAAACAAGCTTTTATTTCCTTTTGAAAAGTTACTTTTAAGTTAGTTTTGTCTTGTTTTAAGTGTACTGAGATATTTGCACTAGAAGCTAGAAAAATACTTGGTAGGATATGGTGTTTTTACAGTGTATTTTGATTTGTTCAATTAAAAAAAGCTGGGTTACCTGACCCAGTTACACCGATTCTGTCAGGAGGAATGGATCAAAATTACATAAAATTATTGAGAGATGATGGTAGAAGGGAATTCAAAACGTTTAACTCAATTCATAGTTTAAAAATTATCCTAAAATAGAAATTTAGCTTGATTTGACACCAGACAGTGAGGGAAAATATAGATTAAGCAAACACTGACAACCAATGTATAAAAATTCAAAACATTCCTTCCTAAAACATTCTTCCATCTCATGCCCACAACTCAGTAAAAATGTTTACTTTCTAATTAAAAGTCAAATTGAAGCCTTTAAATTTTACATGCATATCTGTCTAGACACGGCCTTTAATTAGCAGACACGGCTTCACTCCCGTAATTATTGTAAACCAAACCAGGAGTGGCATAAAAGAAACTCCACAAATGCTTATAAATATTCTACTGATAAATAACTTTGAAGATAAACATCTGAAAGCTCATATTGGAGGTTTGTGGGTGATAAAGTGTCTCCTCAGTCTGAGCTGTTAACTAGACTCAAACAGAGGTGAAATCCTACACCGTGTGTGTGTGTGTGTGTGTGTGTGTGTATTCCTGGGTATCCCTGGTGTGTTGTCGTAGTTGAGTGAACCCTGTGGTATTCAACTCGAGGGCGAGGCCTCCACACATCACAGCTCAAGCATCTGATACTGCGTCCGGCATGATCGGCATGAAACTGCATCTGCGAAACGGTGAGGAAGACTCACCCTGCTCGTCTCTACGGCAACGCTTGTAAAGCGCGTACTTGGCCGGGTTGTCTGCCACCGTGAACTTCTTCAGCAGCGCCATGATCACCTGAACGCACAAACACAAAACGTTACTCATAAACACTTTACTAAACTACAACGATTTTACAACTTTAGGTGAAATTGTGGATTTATTTTGGGAAACCCTCCTAAATATTTTCCATCTTAAAATGCACCAGACTCAACTGTCCAGATTTTACTAGCTTAATATATTAAAATATATAAATATATGCAACATATTAAGTCAAGGGGGCTTAAAACAGTTACACGCCACACTTTTCAGATTTTTATTTCCTATAAAGAGTATTAAAATATTTTTTTCAATTCATAATTATTCGCCGCGTTGCGTTAGAGCTGAAACAATTAATTGTGATTAATCAATTATTGACATAATAGTAAATTAATTTAGTAATTGATTAATTGCTAAAAGACTCAAAAAAGGCAATTTGCTGAAATAATTGCTGCTCTGAGTGTGTTAAGTGAAAACTTTACAAAAACTATATACATTTTGCATTTAAAATAAAAAATGAATCCTTTATCTCTACATATGTTTTACCCAAAACTCCTCAAGTTATGTAATTTTAGCTTCACTTGGTTCAAATTCACTAAAGGAAAGGGTTAGGGTTAGGATTAGGGTTTTTATAATGTTTATAAAAAGATAAACATTTTATGCCTGTTGCATTTCAGGCATAAAATGTTTATCTTCTTATTTAAAAAGAGAATTTAATTATTTGTTTATTAGTCTCTTAATATATTTCTAGAACTGCACAAAAAGGTTTAAGAGATTATGTAAAGAAAATTGAAGAATATGTTAATTTTTAATCAGTTTAATCAATTAATCGTCAGCATAATCGATTATTTAAAAAATTCATTTTGCATATAAAATAAGGAAAAGTCTTAGTCTGTAAATACGTTTTACCAAAAACTCAAGTGTTTTTTTAGCTTTACTTGGTTTAAATAACTGTAAAAAATTCCTATTAATGCACCTTTTGATATAAAATTATTAATTGGTGATTCAGAAACTTCCCAAGTGAACAGCCCTACAGTTTATTAGTATTAAATTTATTCTTGAATTGTGGTTAGAAGGCCACAAGAAATCAGTCCAGGACCTTAACTTGAGCACCGAACTATCAGATCTATAGAGTTTGGAGTTTAGAGTTTTGCTGCCTTTCATTTGGACTAAACTTTCTGTTTTGTCTCTCTGACCTTGACTTCACCTCATGTGTCATCAGATCCTCATTAAATTTCCCAGGTGGCTGTGAGCTGAAAAGTGCGTCTGTGTGCATTCCCCACCTGCTTGACCGTGTTTTCGGAGCTGATGTGGAGAGTGTTGATGACTCCTCGCGGTAGATAGAAGGCCTCCCCCATCGTGGCTCCTCCTGCTGCCCTCTGACCTCCGCGCACTGTCACCGGCCGCCTCAGATCCATCATGACCTTGACGAAACCAGTGTACACACCAGTAGGGTTCTGAAAGACGGACAGTTACAACGTCAGCTCAAAGCTGCAGGCGCGAGTCTCGGGGGTTTGCCATCCAAGACAAAACAGGAGTAGAGATAAAAATCAGAAAAAAGAGCAAAGACAAAATAAGGTGTGGCAGCAAACCGCTCTGGTGACGGTGAATATTTTGTTACGGGAGTGAAAAGAATGCGGTCCGAGTCGTTTATTTTAGCCTCAACATTTCCAGGAAGCAAGGAGCTCAAACCGTGAGGATCTGCCGGTTTTCTGTCCAAATCATTAGAAATGGGGCTGCAACTAATAATTATTCTAATAACCAATAATTATATTGTTTATTCTGACGATTAATCGGATAAAAATAATAAGCAAATTCAGCAAATTTTCATTTAACCTCAAACTTTTTTTTAAATATAATATTAAATACTTCAAAAAAGTCAAATAAAACTAAATATTTTTTTATAAGAAAAACATTTTATTGCCTAAAATTCAATAATGTGGCATTCTTTCAGTGATTTCTATTGGTTAAAACATTTACAGACAAAGGCGTTTATATCTTAAATGCAAAGCGTACATTTTGTACAGTTTTGTCTCAATTACTGCTCTGAATATTTCTGGGATTTTGAGTCTGTATACTGCAGTTAATGATAATCAATTGGTAAATTGGTTACTTATTATTTCAATAATCGATTAAACACGATTAATCCAATTAATGCTTTCAGACGTAGTTAGAAAAAATGCAAATCACTGCACTTCCACTGAAAAAAATCTGAAAACAACTTTTATAGTCTTTTTATTCCATGCAGCTACAATATTTAATCTGAAATCCAAATGTTTTACTTCACAGAAGCCTGAGGCAAAACTCCTTATAAAAGTTTAGCACCACCATTTTAGCAGTGAACTTCAAACACATCTGTCAGTGCCAAGGGAAACACTGTAGGGGAGAACAATAGCAGGAATAACATCACGGTCTGATGTGAGTGTTCGGGAATGCAGGGAGCAGGAGGGAACCGGCCTTAACACTGAAATACCAGCAACAACCTGGAACCTCGAGTGTGAACTGTTGTAACCTCCTGCACAATCCACATCTGCTGAATCAAAACACAGCGCCGTTTAGCAGCAGAATTAAAAGTTTTCAGCACTAATTCAACTCCTTGAACAGGTTGGGATCAATCTATGGCCCATATAAAACATGTTCATTACAATTTTTACAGAAAATCGTTCTTAGATAATGAGATTTTGAACGATAAAACGCTCGTCTTATCCAGCACCCATGAAACCAACTGACCAAACATGCTTGTGTTCCACTGGCGTTGCTAGGTAACAGGCTGGGCTTGGCTGGGGTTGCTAGGTAACAGCACAATTCCCATGGGATGTGATGTTGCTTTTGAGAGTTTTTGAAACGTTTCATTTTCCAGACACCAAAAAACATTAACTTGTTGCTAAAATACAGCTAGGTGGTTTTTTTTTATCATTTTGGCTGATTTTAGAAGCAGCCGAGACCCAAATGGAAGAAAAAATTCAAAATGCCTCTCATGAAAACCTTTCTATATTTTTGGAGTGCTGGTTATTTATTTTACATCAGCTGTTATCTTCCTAAAGTTGTTGTTTTTTCATGTTTGATCAAGCTTGAGAAGCTATTGGTGTATTTAAGTATGCTACAATGGTGAAGAGTTATCAAAAAATAATTGTAATTTAGTACATTATGTCTGTGTTTTTAAAAAAAAGAAATGTTTTAAGTAAATTTAGAACTGTTTTTCTTTATTGAACTGGTACATGGTGCATCCCTGCTATTTTTAATACACAAAGACAAAGGGCAGCTTTAACTCTCTTCACACAGGATAACATGTTAAGATAAAATGAGAAACATTCTTCATGTTTAGCGTCATACGGTACGGTATCCACTCACCAGCGTCATTTTAAGGTAGTCTCTGGTCAGAGAGTTGTACTGGTCAATTTTCTGCTGGATTTCCTCCCTGCTGAACTCCGTCCGTACTTCTCGTTCCTTCTCCACATCCTTCAAGAGACGGGAAATAAAACGAAAACGTGAGCCGCCAAGTGTAGAAATATACCAAATCAATCCAATCAGACAACAATAACAAGGCACATGGACAACTCAATACGAGTCATTTGAGTTTTTCTTGCATTAGAGGCAACATGTGAAAGGCCTTTCTGCTTCAGGGTCAACCCATGACCAAAATCTCTTAAAAATCAGCCCCATGCTAGAAGACTGACTGCTAATTTTAGCACGTTCACAGGAATATGACTGGAAATAAACACAAGCCTAAAAATGGCTTTAGTTTGGTTAAAAGATCACTTTCAAACCAGACACAGATGTAGTCAGTGACTCAAAAAACACAAAACATAACTGGTCACATGTAGCAGGCGACTGTGCTGTAGTTGTAAATACACAGCACTCTGACCTCAGAGGTAATTAAATGTTTTATTACATAGCCAACATGACTCCAAAGAGCTCAGATATTCATAAAAACATGTCATAAAGTGCCGCTAAAACTTCAGCATCAATAAATCCTAATGAAAAATAAGTCTATTTATTTTGTTTTGAACTTTTGGAGTGTAAATGGGGATATGACTTTTTAAAAGCAATTAACTGAGCGCAATGTTGATAGAAATTGGCTGGAGTCCTTAGAATTAGGTAATAACACGCATATGGAGTTTAACTGCTTCATTTCTTTTAACCAGTAGAGGATTTTAGGCCTGAAAATCAACAAACTCAAACATTTAAAACTCAATAAAATCATTCAAAGAGACCAACAGCATGTAAATCCCAGTGCAAACTCTTTATCTTTCCCTGGTGTATCCTATGCATAAATGGGCATAGTGCAGCTCCCCTCTGCATCTATTAAAAACCACACACACACACACACACACACACACACACACACACACACTGCAGAATCCAGTGAGCCTCCGAAGCACGTACACCCTTATATGGAAAACACACACAATGCTGCAGGAAGACCTGAGGTGCCAATGCAACAAGTGCAATGAGCCAAAAGGTTTATGGCTCTGAGAGACAACAGGAATGCCAGTCTCTTTAAAAACATTAAAACAATTTAAACTGAGAAATCTAAAAAATGCAATGAGACAAACTAACTTTAGTCTAGTTTGTATCATAACATATACAATTCTTTTGAGTGACGCACTCGGAAGATATGACAGTGAGCTACAAAAAGCTGCAGCAGCGATTTACTCCACCGTTAATTATTCATTAAAAAACAAATAGACTATTAGAATAATCAATGCATGAAATAATTTTTGACAAACCTAAATTATTGTTTCAGACCTGATCAGTAGTACAGTAAAACCTTTTCAAACTTATTCATGATTGTATACGTTTGCAACTGAAACCAAATATACAAATATTGCATAAAAATACACAAACGGGTCAATTTGGATAACCTAAATTATTTATAGGTCTTCAATGTTTAAGTACTATGTTTTTCAGGTTATAACCACCAAAAGAACACATAAAAGTCACTATGGACTATAAGTTGTAGTGAAAGTATGCAAAAAATGTCTGACTTATACTCCAGAAAATACGGTAATTAACTTTTTTAAAAACAAGCTTGTCTTATTCAAGTCTTATATTCTGCTTAAGAGCTTGAAATACTAAAAAAATTGTGGAAAACTTTTAATCTATTCTTTTTATGACTCAAAACCACTGAATGCTGCAATAACACTCATCAAAAACACAAACAATATTTCTAAAAAGTTGAATATTTAATCAAATCTAGTCAGCGACTCGTCGGGATTAAAGAAGGAAGGCAGACATGAAGACATCAACGCATCTGATCCATCAGATGTATAACAATAGAACCAGAGTCAGAATAAGTTCAATCAGCTTTAAAGATTTCTTCACTGATTCTAAATCTGTCTGGTCAAACTGTTTAGTTTTTCCCTTCATGGTTTAATCTCACCTCTAAGCTGTGACGCTCTAACGAGACAAATCTCATCACCAGGAAGTGGCAGGTAAAGCAGATTATCCGCCTCGTGAGGAAAGGGAAAGTTCAACAAGCAGCTAAGCAGTTGGACCTTCATGCCAGCTTATTATAGTGGAGGAATGAGGGCGACTTAAAGGGGCTCTATTACGCAAAATTCACATTTGACATGTTTTATACTTCCACCGTTAATTATTCATTTGAGTCTCTACTGCTTCTAAAATCAACCCAAGTGCTTTAAAAAAAAAAAAAACGGCTAGCCGTTGTTTTGTTAAAAAGTTAATGTATTTTGTGTCAATTACACAATTGTTTGTCTTTGAAAAGCAGAAGAGGAGTGTCCTGCACAACCAACAAGAACGCAGCAAGTGTTAAGTCAACAACAAAACACTTGTCTTTTCCAGCAGCCATTGTACAGCAGTAAAACTAACTGACAAACGTGCTGGAGTTTCAATGGGCTGCTAGGTAACGGTGTCTGCTGATTTGTGACATTACATTCTGGAGGTTTTGGAGATGCCTCATTTTTCAGACAACACTAAAATTAAAAATTAATAAATTCTTTTAAGAGTTTGGGTTGGTTTCAGAAGCAGCAGATAACCAAATGGAAGTATAAAACTGTACAAAATGTGACCTGACCTCCAAATAAGGAGTGTTAATTAACTGGTCAGATAATTTCCTATAGAATGCCTTGAAATTCTCTAAAATGCATTTCATGTGGTAGACCAACAAAATATGCACAATAGTGAAGTGAACAATGTGATTTTAGGCTTTTATTTTTTTTTCCACAAGTAAATATCAACCAAAAATGTGCATGCTGGTCAGCCCAGGCTAACTCTGGAGGAGCTGCACAGATCCTGAACTCCCTTTATGGAGGAGCAGAAAGAAGAAAGCTGCTGTTGAAAGAAACCAAGAAGTTCTGTTTGCACATTTCCACAGACGTTCTTAATCCACTCTGGATTAACAGGTGACAATTTCAGTTTCTAGTTAAACTGGTTGGGATTTACCCCAAAAGATTAGCAGCTGTAATGAAAGTTAAAGTATCGGGTCAATACATAACTTCATAATTTTCACCACAGTCATGAAAATATTTGAAAACTTGCAATGTTTTCTTCTACGTTGCAAAGTACTGGTTGGTGTAAAACACCAAGTCCCAATAAAACTCACTGGAGTCTTGTGTTTGTAACGTAAAAAAGCTGAACCTTTACAGTGTGGTCACATGGAGTTAAAAGGGAACTGGGAGGACGAGAGCGACCGGATCTAAACAAACAGGAGAGGAGAAGTGCTGTAACACAATGAGGTCATAGTCCGTTTTCAGGAACAAAGCGAATCCTCCCACTCAGGGCGAAAGATCAACACTAAACAGACGGAGCAGCAGCCAAGAAACACATCATTATAATCTAAAAGATGTCTCTCCTCTCGACTTTAACCAAGCTAAAAGTTTTATCTCTAAAGATTTTGTCATTACATCAAGCTACTAAACATTTCAGATTAGGAGAGACTAACTAGGTGGAGTTATAATTCACTTGTTGCACAGAGCAAAAAAAAAAAAAAAAAAAGCAGAACTTTGTAACACCGAAAGCAGAACAGAAAACGAAAACCAGTTTTGTCTGAGAGGGGTAGGACTTTCTTTCTTTAGCCTTTTATCTCACACACACCTGCAGCTCTCCTGTCTCTGTTTACCTCCGTCACGCTCGTCTGACATCTTCTGTCTGTAAATATGTGACATCACCGCAGGAGGAGTCTGGGCTTTTCTGGGCCAAGACTAAACACACAGATTCAGCTACAATTTAGCTGAATATTGCAATATTATAATTAAACCCTTTGTATTTCTATGCCATTCCCTGACTCTTTGCTAGTATTACTAGCATGAAGAATTTGCATGCATTGCACATGAAATATTGCAACTAACCAAATGTTGCACACGTTCATATTGTGTAGCTCTAATAAACAACAAAAGCCACTTCTGATTTAGGGGTTAAGAGTTATATTTGGCATTTTGAGTCATTAAAATTAGTCTTAAAATCACTTTGCTTGTGGTTTTTAAAATGAAAACATAGCAAACTGTAAATATTAGTTTTGCTACAATACAAAAATGTAATGTTGTTGATCTATTAAAATGACAGAAAATATTCCTTAGACCAGGAATGTCCAAACTTTTTCAAGCTCAGAAGTACCTGCATGCCAAAAAATTATAAAATTTTTAAAATCTAAAATGACCCCCCAAAATTTTTTTAACCTACTCAAGAATAATCTTAACATGAACTATTTTAATTAAACAAAGTAATCAGATTGTTTTTGGAGGAATGGGATCATAGATTTAAAACTTCAAATGTTTTTTCTTTGTAAAATGAAAACTGGAATAATATTTCATCTGTTCTCAGCAACAACAACAGAATGTGGCTCATTTGGAAACACTTACTGTATTCAGCCAAGTTTTAATATAGCAATTAAAAGGAGATTTGAGCACAGCAAGAAGTACTTTACAGTACAAGTCTAGTTACCATGACAACAGAAGGAAACCAGAAATCATGTTAAAGATGGTCACTTTGTGTTGCATCAAGCAGATTTTAATTTAAAAGTCATAGTTTTGTCCTAATTTATGTTTGAATTGTGGTCTGGCGGGCCGCGCAAATTCAGTTTACAAGCTGCAAATGGCCCTCACGCCTCACTTTGAGAACCCTTCCTTTAAACACTTTTCTGATCTGGAGTGAATACATTAATGAACTCCATTATGACTTGTTTTTTATTTATGTTAGTATTTATTTCTCTGCCCCTCCTGGCTTGCAGCCTGTTCCTCTGCATGTGACTTCCTGTTGAATCGAGGGGGAAGTCTATTCAAGCCACACCTTTCCTCTTGGCATTCCTGCACTAATGGGACCAAACGGCCCCGTGAAAAAGCACAACAATGTGCTTTAAAGTGCGGCTCACACCTTTCCTCTGGTGCAAACAGAAACAGACAAATTGTTTCTACATGAACCTTCTGGGACTAATGGACACATAAATCATACACATAGCTTTGATTGTGAAGTTTTACACCCAAATGGGGTGTTATTCACAG